AAATATGATTATAATTTAAATCCCTTGCATTTTCCTTTCATTTGCTAGTTTGGTTAAATTTCCATATTCACTTTAATCTTTATGCAATTTAGTTTTTATACCTTAATTTGTTTTAAATGTAAAATTGTTCTTCATTTGTTAATAATAATAAATTGAATGAAATTTTCTGAGGATGGTATTTTAGAGAAATCTGAGTAGTGATTCTCTAAAATATCTAGGTGAGGATATTTTTTTAAAAATACTATCAAAGTAGTGGGGTATTTAAAAAATATTCAATAAAAAAGTTTCATTTGTCAATTTTTCCTAAATTTTGATAGATGTTAATAATAACATATAACAACTCTTCTAGTAATAAAATTGGTGTGATAAAAGTTTAAAAATTAGATAATCTTTTTTAATTAAGTAAGAAAGGACAAAGTGAATAAAAGTTTTCAAGGATGGGATTCTAAGAAAGTTCAAGTAGATATTCCTAAAAAGTTTATAGGTGGGAAAAATTTTTCTAAAATACCACCAAAGTATCGGGATATCTAGGAAAATTTTTAGCAAAATTTTTATTTACTTTGTTCTTTTCAAAAGTGTTGGTTAGAAAACAATTAAAGAAGATAAAAACATAATAAGTGTTATATTTTTGTATGCATATTCTACTTTATTGTTTGCATTACATAATTTAAAATGCAAATGAAATTTTTTATGATGGGATTCTCAGGAAGTCTGAGTAGAGATTCTCAAGAATTCTTTAGGTGAGAAAAGGCTTCTAAAAATTACCAAGGTATTGGAATATTTAGAAACTCTTTTCAATATTTTTTATCTGAATAATTCCCTTGAAAAGATAATAAATATTTATAAAAGCATGCATTTCTTAATAAAATTGTGCAAATAAAAATTTTCGATGATGGGACTCTAGGAAGTCTGAGTAGTGATTTTCGAGAATTCTCTAAGTGAGAAAAGTTTTTTAAAAATTGCCAAAGTACTTGAATATTTAGAATTTTTTTTAATATGAAAATTTTCATTTTTATAATTTGAACAGTTTTCTTAACAAACTAGAATCTATTTGTAGATAAATATCTTATTACATGACTTTCAATAATTTTTAAAATCAAACAGACGAAAAATCTCCTAAGATGAGATCCTAAAGAAATTCGAGTAGTGATTCTTTGAGAATCTTTAGGTAAAAAAATGTATCTAAAATGCTGCCAATGTATTGGAGCATTTAGATTAATTTTTGATAAAGATTTCTCGTTTTATAGAAATGAGTTTTTAGAAAATACTTTTTGTTTTAAAATTATAGATATTATATTTTTAAATAAATGCTGAAAATAAATATGAACCACCGAGGATAAGATTTTTGAGAATTTTGAGTAACGATTCTTAAAAATTCTTTAGGTCAGATGGTTCCTCTTAATATTGTTAGAGTATTAGTATACTTTTAGGAATTTTTCAATAGAAGGTTCTTATTTATTTTTCAGGCTTGCTAAAAAATAAAAATAGGTTTTTAAAGAAAATTAAGCAAATTAATTTTTAAATACCAAAAGTAAGACCATTTTAGTCAATATTAAAATATAACACATAATTAGTTGGTACCATTTTAAATAGGTGCTATGGGAGTGCTAATTCTTCCCCACGCATAATCGATTCTTGAACCTAAACTATTTTTTGTACACCTTAAAATTATCTTTTTAATAAATTTTATTTAATCCTGAAATTTTATTAAAATGGTAAGTTTTAATAAGTGGCAAATCACACGTAATCAAAAAAGATTGGTGGTGACTCCATTCTTTTATTTTTCAAATTTGTCTATCAGTCCCAAAACTGTTACGATAGGTAGCCAATAGAGTACCTGTTCCCAAAAAGAATGAAAAGGTGAGAATGTGTGTTGATTATCGAGATCTAAATAGGATGAGTCCTATGGATAATTTTCCTCTATCTAATATCGATATCCTAGTGGATAACACTGCTAGGCATTCCATATTTTCCTTTATGGATGGGTCTCAAGCTACATTCAGATTAAGATGGCTTGAGAAGATATGGGGAAAACAACGTTTGTGACCGTGTGAGGGAAATTTTGTTACAAAGTCATGTCTTTTGGATTGAAAAATGCTTGTGCTACTTATCAAAGAACAATGGTAACTCTCTTTCATGACATGATGTATAAAAAGATAGAAGTGTATGTGGATAATATGATTGTAAAATCTCGTGAAGAAGAAGATCATGTAGTGAATCTCAGAAAGTTATTTGATAGGTTGAAAAGATTCCAACTGAAGTTGAATCTCGCTAAATGTACGTTCAGTGCTAAATCAAGAAAACTATTAGCCTTTATGGTTAGTGAAAAAGGAATAAAAATGAATCCAGATAATATATGTGCTATTCAGAACTTATCCTCTTTTCATACCTCAAAAAAAGTACGAGGCTTTATAGAGAGATTCAACTATATTGCTCGTTTCATCTCTCAACTCACCTCTAAGTGTGATCCCATTTTCAAGCTTCTTAGAAACCATGATCCAGGAGAATGAAATGATGAATGCCAAGAAGTTTTTGATAAATCAAGAATACTTGTCAAATCCACCCGTGTTGGTGCCATCAATTTTGAGAAAGCCTTTGATTTTATACTTAACATGCATGAAAATTCAATATGATGTGTGTTGGAGCAAAGAGATGAAACCAATAAGAAGGAATGAACAATTTACTACTTGAGCAAAAAAGTTCACAATTATGAGTCCAAGTATTCACTATTAAAGAAGATATATCACGAATTTTCCTGGCCAGCTCAAAAGCTCAAGCAATACATGCTTTATCACACTACTTGACTTATAGCAAAGTTAGATCCTATCAATTATATCATCAAAAAGCCTTCATTAATAGGAAGAATAGCCCGATGACAAGTTATGCTTTCAGAATATGATATTATCTATGTAACTCAAAAGGTAATTAAAGAAAATGTAATAGCCAAGTTTCTTGCTAACCATGCAACCAAAAATTATGAACCAATGAAGCTAGATTTTTCTGATGAAGATGTGATAGTCATTGAAGAAAATGAACCTATTGAAAAGTCTTGGAAGATGTATTTTGATAGAGCTACAACGTTTTGGGTCATGGTATTAGGGCTATTTTGATATCTCCCAATGGACACTATTATCCTATCACAACTAGATTAAATTTTAATTGCATAAATAATATGGTTGAATATAAGGCTTCTGTTATGGGTTTGCAAGCAGCAACTGAAAGAAAGATCAGAGTGTTAGATGTATTTGGAGATTCAGCATTAGCCATCTATCAGTTATGATATGAATGAAAAATTAAAGATTCAAAGTTGATCCAATATCATAAATACATATTTGAGTTAGTCAAAAATTTGAAGAAGTTTAATTCGAGCATTTACCTAGAGAGAAGAACTAGATTGCTGATGCACTGGCTACTTTGGCTGCAATGATCATAATAGGTGCAAATATTGATATCCAACCCATCAAGCTGGACATGAAAAATGTATTAGTACATTGCTTAGGTGTTGAAAAAGAAGTTGATAGGAATCTATGGTATCATAATATTCTTCAATATATCAAAAGTCAGCAATACTCGAAGCATGCAACAGAAAATGATAAAAAAATCATTAGAAGGTTGGCTGAAGCAGAAATGATTATTGAAGAACTGCATGATAGGGGTTGAGAGGCACATGCAAATGGTCACATGATGGCTAGACAAATTATAAGGGTTGGCTATTATTGATTGACAATGAAAAGTGACTGTATCGATTATGCTAGAATATGTCATAAGTGTTAGATTTATGCTGATAAAATTCATGCTCCTCCATTAGCATTGCACATTTTGGCTCATCCATGGCCATTCTCTATGTGGGGCATGGATGTCATTAGCCCGATCACTCCAAAAGCTTCAAACGGACATAGATTCATTTTTGTGATGATTGATTATTTCACGAAGTTGGTAGAAGCTACATTTGTGGTATGCAAATTCAATAAAAAAAAAGATAAATTACAGATATGAGTTTTCAGAGATGATTATTTTCGATAATGTCGAAACTTGAATAGTAAAATGATGAATGAAATATGTTTTCAGTTCAAGATCCATCATCATAATTTAGCATCGTATCGTTCGAAGATGAATGGGGCAGTAGAAACCGCAAACAAGAATATCAAAAGGATTATGGAGAAAATGACTAATACTTACAAAGACTGGCATGAAAAGTTACTTTTTGCCTTACACGCTTATAGAATATTAGTTCAAACATCTACTGGGGCCACCCCATTCTTTTTGGTTTATGGAATGAAAATTGTGCTGTCGGTTGAAGTGAAAATTCCTTTATTAAGAGTTTTGATTGAAGTAGAGTTAAAAAAATAGAATGGATCTGAAATCATTACGAGCAGTTAAGCCTCATCGAAGAGAAAAGGCTTACAGCACTTTATCATGGTCAATTGTATCAGAGAAGGATGATAAGAGCACATGATAAAAAAATTCGCCCTCGTCGCTTTCTAGAAAGATATTTAGTGCTAATTCTGAGATTTTGGGTACTATTGAGAATTTGATATTTTTTCTCGTAAATAGATTATCTCGAACTAAACGTCAGAATCAAATATCACCATTAAGATTTCGAGAAAAAATTTGTGGATTCTCCTATACCAAATGCACTTTTAAAAAAAAAGATGATTATTTAATTTTCATTTAAATCATATGTAACAATATTATTAAAAAATCAATAATTTAATATACATCATATGATAATTTGATAATTAAATTAAATATTTTTTACAATAAATTCATACATATCACGCCTAATAATTGATTGATTTTTTTTATAATATAATTATGTAATATAATTTTAATAAAAAAGGAAATAAGTTCACTTGCATTTTATAAATCTTTTCGTGCTTAAATTACAAGAAAGAAAAGTCAAGCAAACGATCAACCATAAGAATTTGTGGTCATGTCCCCTAATACGCGTCTAAATTTTATTGGACTTTTAGTCATTCTAAGCTTCTTTATATGTCAAAGGTCTCTTCTTCACGGCAACTCAATCCATCTAAAACTCAATACACGTTCATCAATGGCTTCAGTTTTTTCTCCTTTCCTGTCAGTTTGCCTATCTCTTCTCCTACCTCTTGTTGTTGCTCAAAGTACTGAAAGCAATATCCGGGTCGGCACCACCATCGCAGCGATTGACAGTGCAAAACCTTGGATTTCACCTTCCAATGAGTTTGCCTTCGGATTTTACCAACTTGAAAATAAAGAACTTTTCCTACTTGCCATATGGTATTATAAAATACCAAGCCGCACCATAGTTTGGTATGCAAATGGAGATAACCCTGTTCCAAGAAGATCCAAGGTGGAGTTAACCTCTGATCGCGGACTAGTTCTCAGTGATCCTAATGATCAAGTGATATGGAAATCAGATTTTGCCACCGGTGAAGTTGCCTATGCTGGAATGAATGATACAGGCAATTTTGTTGTTTATGGTACTGTTTCTCAACGACTGTGGGAGAGCTTCGGGAATCCTACTGATACACTGTTACCAACTCAGGTAATGAGCCGAAAAAGTTTGCTTTCTTCTCGGCATAAAGAGAACAACTTCTCAAAGGGAAGATTCCAGTTTCGTTTGCTTGAAGATGGAAATGCTGTGCTCAATACCATAAATTTGCAATCCAATTTTGCTTATGTTGCATATTACATTAGTGGCACTCGTGATGCAGAAAATTCATCGAATTCTGGTTACCAAGTGAAGGTTGATCAAGATGGTTCCTTTTACATATTGAGAAACAACAATCAGAGATATTTACTAAGCTTAGAAGATTTAGATCCCTCTGCAGACTATTATTACAGAGTAACTCTCAATTTTGATGGTGTTTTGACCCTATCTAATTATCCGAAGAATTTCACTGGCATCTCTGAAAATTGGACTGTCGTTAAGACCATTCCAGATAATATCTGCACGACTGATTTTCAAGATATGGGAAGTGGAACTTGTGGCTTCAATAGTATCTGTACACTCAAAGCCGACAAAAGGCCAACATGCAAATGCCCCCCAAGGTATTCTTTATCTGATGCAAATGACGAGTATGGCAACTGCCAAGCAGATTTCATGCAGGGTTGTGAAGCAGATGCCCATAATTATACAGAAGATTTATACGATTTAGTGGAAATGCAAAATACAGATTGGCCAACTTCCGATTATGAGTTGATTGCCCCTTGCAGTTCTTTAAAAGACTGCAAAACTTATTGTTTGCAGGATTGTCTTTGTATTGTGGCGGTATTCAATGAGAACGGCTGTTGGAAGAAGTCACTACCACTTCCATACGGGAGACAGGACAGACAAGTGAATTCCATCTCCATCCTCAAAGTAAGAAAACCTGAATTTGCCTTCAAAAACCCTCCAATGCCATTCTCATACGTAAAAAAGAACAAAAATTCATTGATAATTCTGATTTCAGTGCTCTTAGGTAGCTCTGTGTTTGTCAATTTAGCATTGGTTGGGATATTATGTATGGGATCATTTTTGTTGTATCACAAAAAGATTACTAGAAATCACATAAACGAAAATGGCATACAAAGCAGTTTAAGGTATTTTAGATATGAGGAGCTCGAAGAAGCTACAGATGGTTTCAAGGAGGAGCTGGGAAGGGGATCATTTGGCATCGTTTATAAAGGGGTAATAAAAACGGATTCTCAAGATCCAATTGGTGTTGCAGTTAAGAAACTAGACAGGGTGGTTCAAGACAAAGACAATGAATTCAGAACTGAAGTGCGTGCGATTGCTCAAAAACATCATAAGAATCTGGTCAAGTTGCTTGGATACTGTGATGAGGGTCAACATCGAATGCTGGTATACGAGTGCTTAAGCAATGGGACGTTAGCTAGCTTTCTCTTTGGGGATCTAAAACCCAGCTGGAGCCGAAGGACACAAATTGCGTTGGAAATTGCAAGAGGACTGTTTTACTTGCATGAGGAATGCAGCCCCCAAATAATCCATTGTGATATAAAGCCTCAAAACATACTTCTTGATGACTACTATGTAGCTCGGATCTCTGACTTTGGGCTGTCAAAGCTTTTAGGGATCAATCAATCCTATACTAATACTGCTATCAGAGGCACAAAAGGGTATGTAGCACCCGAATGGTTCAAGACTGTGCCTGTAACTGTGAAGGTTGATGTGTATAGCTTTGGTGTCTTACTGCTAGAAATCATCTGTTGTAGAAGAAATGTAGCAATGGATAATGATGCAGTACAGAAAGCAATTTTGACAGATTGGGCTTGTGATTGCTTTTTGGAAGGCACTTTAGATGCTCTTGTTGACAATGATGCAGAGGCCTTAAGTAACAAGATGAAGCTGGAGAGGTTTGTTATGGTCGCGATATGGTGCATTCAGGAAGACTTCTCTCTCAGACCCACCATAAAGGAAGTTATACTGATGCTTGAGGGAATAATTCAGGTTCCTGCTCCACCTTGTCCATGTCCACTAATTAATTAAGTCCATTGAATAAATAAATAAAAAAAACAACTTCAATGTTTCTAGCTGTACTGTTTTGCTGCTATTGGTTGCACTTTTCTATTTGCAATATTTTGCAAAAAACTCAGATACTGCAGCCGAGCATATGTAGTTTATTAAGTGGTGATCATACTAATTATGCCTGGCATGATAACACAATAAAAATGTCCCAGGTTTTGGATGCATGCTACCTGAATACTTAACACCATTACTTTAAGAAGTTAGTAAAATTATCAAAAAACAAAAAGAATGTTAGTGAAATTCCTTTTTCCTCTTTTATCAATGAGCTAGGTTTCTCCGTTTAAAACCTGATCTATTTCTAACTATCTCACTGCACAAGCAAGCAACAGTGTTAGCCGATAAGCTTTCGATGAAAATGACAATGAGCAAAGCAAGCACTAATGAATAAGATTGGGTCCAGTTCACCAGTTTCATTCACCAAAAGATTTTCAGAGTTTTGAAAGGTAAAATCAGAAATAAAACACGGCTGTTGGAATGGAAGGTCTTTTTTTCTGTGCAAATGCAAAACTTTAGTCATATCATATGATAACTTTATGTACAATTGCAACTGCTCATATTTATTGATATAACTACACTTCTTCCGCAACGTGTGAGTTCTAGCAGCAGCACTCCAAAGCTATATAAATCAACCTTCACAGTTATTGGCAGGTTCCTAAACCATTCTAGTGCCACATATCCTTTTGTTCCTTGAATAGCAGTACTATTGGTCTGGTCTGGCTTTGATTCAACAACAAAAGCATCGCCTATCCAAGGTCAGAAATCTTTCATTATAATGCTCATCCAGCAGAATGTTCTGAGGCTTCATATCACAGTGAATATCTATGTGGTGCATTCTTGATGTAAAAAAGGAGTCCTCTTGCAATCCCAAAAGCATTTTTTTTTCCTTTTCTTCTTCTCCTTCCTTTTCACTCTTTTATTATTTTTTGGTTTTAATTAATTTCTTCATCACTTTTTAAATAATGGTATTATTTTGAATAAATAATTTAATAAATTCATCTAAAAATTAATATATAATTGAATTAAAGATAAGTTAAAAATATTTACATGTATTAGAATAGAATATAATTATTTAACAAGAATTTAATTTAATTATAATGAAAGCTAATTTTAAAACATTTAGAAATTAAAAAAAATCTTGAGTAAAAGAGAGAAAATAGTAAATAGACAAACAAATGATTAATAATTAATAAAGAGCATTTAGTTTCTTAAAAAAAAGGGTATTTAGTATATTTTTATCAAAATTCATGGGGTAAGAGTGGGTATTTTTTAAACTAAAGGGGAAAAAGAGAAATTCTTTTTTTTTTATCAAACTTTAGGAGTAAATATATTTTTTTCTAAAGTGAGTGGAAAACTTTAAAATATTTTCTAACTAGTAGTAGATTATGCATTTCAATTTGAAAATTATTTTAGTGAAAAGCAAAAACTAATACTAATATTTCTAATAACAAGCCAAGCATCACAACCATATGCTGCATTTTATCAAAAAATTTCAAAATATCAATCTAAGATTTCATCAGTAACCTCTTTCATGGAAAACTCTTTGTCAATTTAAATAGTTTATTCATGTAACTATGACATTTAGTCTGAAATTCATATTTTACTTATAACAATATTTTTTTGTCAACTTACGACTTTTGTTTACAAAATAATTAAATAATTCAACATTTATTGATGTTGTCCCACAAGTTAGTATTTCTGCAGTGTCAGAAGTTTGTTAGATTTACGTCTCATTCAATCATAAAAGTTTTTGTTTTCATTAAGAACATAAAGTCTTCCGGGAGGGACCCATGGATAAAGATTTTTACGTATTTTAGAGACTAACAGTGAATATAAAAATTGACTGGTTGAAAAAGGTGGAGTAGTTTTCTAGAAGTGTTGATGGAAGGAAAAAAAAAAATCTAGTAAAGCACAAATAGTAGCTGGCCAGAGTTGTCAAAAATAGATCCAAACTTAAAAAATTCGGCTAACGCACACAAACTCAATCCAATCTAATTTGATAAAAAATAACCCACTTGTTATAACAAATTTCTCTCAAAAACTCAATAATTTTAAAAATTTAATAGATGTATAACTAATTTTTTTGTTAGTATAATTGTTCACCCCCAAAAATTATTCTTTTAATAAAATATATTTCAAACTCCTTTATTTTGAAAGGAAGGCTTAAATGCTCATTAATCAAATTGTGGCAATTGAGGTAAAAAGTGCTTCTCTAACTGCCATATATCTACCATATATCTAAAGCTTTAATTTTATGCTACCTTTTCAATACCAAAGCCATGAAAAAAAAAAAAAGGAGGAAAAGCTGTCTCCAAGGGGACATCCGGCGCCAGCGGTTAAAACCAAACATCTAATTTAGAGATTTCGAAATAAAAAATATTGGATATATAATCAGAATTATTAGGTTTATAAAGGGAAAATTGTTAACTGGTGTTAAGTGGCAATGGTTAACGATGTTTAAGGAAAGAACTATTTTAAATTATTAAATATTTTAACTATCTTTAATCATTATTTATAGATACTCCTTAACCAAACTTTTAAAAATTTAAGACTATTGAAAAAAAAATTAAAAAAAAAATCATGACAAAATTCAATCTTAGCACTCAAAAGAATGACAAAAAAACTAGTTTTGGTCGTCGAAAGGAGCATGCAGCTATTAATTGAAAATGACTTAGGACGTAAGCGAGTACGAAATGAGACATTAAAGACGGTGTTTGGTGGGGTAGGGCTGCATGAGAGGGAAAAGACTTGGAAATTTTGTATATATTAATTTAATTAAAATAAAATTTATTTTTCTAAAAAAAGTCCCAATGAATGTGACACCTCTGTCAATTCTTTCTCTAGTTTGTGTTGTATATTTCTACGCTTCAGTGCCCTTCTTTTCTGTACGTTAGAAAATTTGAGGTCTCTAACATGGGATATGGTGGAAATAGTTGGTTCTTTTCTTTGTATTCTTATCTTGTTGTCTACTCTTCATCTTTCAATCTAGTCTTTCTCTTTTTATTAGATTTAAAAATACATTTATGGATAACAAAATATTAACACTAACATCTTCTATTTAAAAAAAATGATATCAATTAATAATATATTATTCTTTAATCTTAAAATTTTAGTTTTAAAAAAATATAATACTTAATCACATATTATCATTTAATCTTAATAAAAACAATCATAATTTTAATTTAAAAATAATTCCTTTAATTTATTTTATTGCAATCAAAATCTTTTTCGTTTCTTTTATTATCCCAAATACTCATTTTCCCTTTAAAAAACAATTCTTACTTATTTTCTTGTCCAAAATTGAAATATTTTGTACTGAAAATTATTCTAAATACTTCAACAATTTAATAATATTTTAAAAAAATTTCTGTCTAAAGAATTTTGAAAATCACTTTAAATATCCCATCATCCAAAATTCACCGTTATGACACAAGTAAATAAGATGCACATGAACTAATTTTTACCTGAACTGCACTTATCTCTCCAAGTTCATACATTTCTTAACCTTTATCGTCATCTGCATCTACATTTACTTATACCGCTTTTTTATTAGTTGAACAACTACCTTTATCAGAAGTGAGTATAGGTAGTGAGGCAGTTGGTGGTCCCAATATTATTGCCTCCATTGATGCAAGACGCTCCACCAACTCATTGCGTTCTTGCTCAAACATTTAAAGTTGTTCAGCTAGTTGTTCCTCATATAATTTTTTAAGTGCTTCCACTAATATTTGTGCTTCTTCCAGCTTCTGATTCCTTGGTGTATTGATGACTGCGGGAGAAATAAAGCTCCAAAAGAAAATTTCATTATATCAAGCAACAAAACATTTTTAGAACAAATAAAAAAAATCATATATCTAAACCAATTCAACAAATTAAAGCCTCAATCAAGCCAAAATAATGAATTAATGCAAAGTTTTGGACTTTAATTCAAAGTAACAAGTACTGGCATCAGCATTACCAATTTTTTCTTCAAAATCTGAAATTAAGCTTGGTGTGGTGATGCACCATTATTGCTCCTCCTCAATCATGATAAAGTTGGGATGAGATTGGAGAGTTAACAGATTTTTGAGGGTTAAGCCTCTAGATACTCATTTTGTTCGGATTTTTTTTTTTATATTATTGGATCTTGAATTCAATTTTGCTATTAGATTTTAAAAACTATTTTTAAGCTCAAATTTAAAGACCCAAAAATGTTTTTACTTTTATTTATATTTTGTTTTTTGGTAAAATTAAAAACATAAAATTTGACTTTTTAAAAAAATTATGATTTTATTTAGATTTTAAATTTAAAGATTGAGTTTGATTTTGGTAAATTTTGAGAATATAGAAGAAAGAAAAAAATGTTAACAGTATCATGATAGATTTAGTTTGCATTCAAAATTTTCAAATTGACAAGGGATTCAATCCTTATATAAAGAGTACAATTCTTAGTTACAAATCACCAACAATTAAAGAATCAATAAGCAATTGAGACAATAAGAATCATCAAGCAACACAAAGCTTTGAGTTTCGAGGAGGAAGTTTTGGGGCTAGAGAGAGAAAGGAGAAGAAAATTCTAAAGGCTTTGGTTTTTTGGCTTAAATACTGGTAAGATTTTTATAGTTTTGTTTTTATTTTATTTGCATGATATTTATATGATATTGTTGCTTGAATAATTATAATATATATTTTTACATGATATTTTGCATAGATTTTATTTGCATGATTTATTGCTATAGTTTTGCATTATGTTTTATACGAATTTTATTTGTATGAATTATTTATTTTTGCATGATTATTATTATTATTATTATTATTATTATTATTATTATATTTTTACATGATTTTATTTTGATATTATTGCGTGATATTTTTCTATGGTATTTTGATAGTATTTTTGTATGACAATATTTTGTAAATAAATAAAAGGAATTTGAATCTAATTTTTTATAAGATATTTAATAAATCTGAAGACAAAATCTCTTATAGTGAATAACGAGTTTATCTTGAATACTTTTGAGGTGAGAAAAAAAATTTTTTTGGTGAAAGCTTAAGGACTTTTTTCTAATATTTAAATGTCAAAATTAATATAAATAATGAAAAAAATTATATGAATTAAGCCTAAGATAAGAGAATATAAGACTAATTTGGTACTAATTTTGTACGTAATAAGGTGCTAAAACCTCTCGTACATAACTGACTCTCAAACTTAGTTTTATTAATGTAGATCATAACTTATTCTTTTTAGGGACCTTTAGTTTACCTTTAGGATAATCTTAAAAGTGATAGATTCACATAAATGGCTAATTGCAGCTAAATAAAAATGATTATTAATGATTCCATATTTCTTTTGGTCTAATTGGCAGGTTTTCAGACTTGAACATTATGATAGTTTGGCAACTCCACTGAAGATCTTAGAGAGTTAAGCTATTAGTTAGTTATCTATTATCTTAAGCCTTACTTTGATAGTTTTTATTTTGTAATTATTTATGATTTTTC